TCCTAATGCTGCCTCTGCTGGTTGGAGACCTAGCCAGGGCTTTAAAGGGGATCAGGGAACCTCTGAAGGGTGAGACAGTTGGGGAAAGGCGCACAGCTGAAGGCACTGGCAGCAGGATCAGGATGCGATTCAGCGCAGAGGAGGGATTCTGGGGATCCTGAGTGCTGCCCAGCAGCAGAGGCCCTGCAGAAGTCAGGCGCTCCTGCCTCGTGCATGCTGGTCCTGACTGGGGGGGTGGGAACCGCTCCCATAGCTGAAAATAAAGAAAACAGGCAACGGCACCAAACTTTCGACCTTCTCAGCCAAACATAACTATTTTATTCATTGGGAAAACGGACAACTCAGCCGCTTGCTCTGAAACACTAAAAAAGCAATTTGGTGGGCGATGAAGCAGTTGCAGTCTAAACAAACCTTTGGCAGGGTGGGAGGACTCCTCTGGCTCCTGGGCTGCAGCAGGCATTTCTCCAAGGGCCTGGCTTAGGGAGCCTGGCAGGGGCTCTGCCACAGGACCCAGGTGAGCTTCCCCTCGGCCCTGTGGCCATGTGACACGGGCCCCCTGCTGAAAAGCTAGACCAGTGGGAAACAGCGCTTCAGCCAGCAGGCCGGGTGGCTGGCCAGCCGCCTCCGCGCTCAGCCGAACAGCGAAAGGGCGGGCCTCCCATGCCTAACCTTCACTGCGGGAGTCTTTCTGGCAGAGGGGGCACCTTGGACTATTGGGCAGAAGACAACACCCAGGCGCTGGATCACCGGGAATCTCGGGAGAAGCCTGCTTGGGGCAAAGGGATGAAGGGCCTTTCTGGGGGGTCATCTGCTGACTTGGGAGGGAGGGAGGGAGGGAGCCTTGGGGAGGGCAGGAGCTGGAAACAGCTGCTCATGTCGTGTGCCACCCTGCCCTGCTCCTAGCACAAGCTCACGCAGATACCGGGAGCTGACCGGATCAGCCTACATCAGGTCCTTTCTCTGCTTCCAGCATCTACCTGCAACCAGAAGGGCTACACCTGGAGGTAGCGGATGATCTCGCTGAGCTCGAAGCCGGTGACAGCGAAGGCAGTGCCCTCGGGATTGCAGAAGCGGGCACCGCAAATCAGGGTGTCGGTCACACACTCCGTATGGCAATGCTCGATCTGTAGGGAAACAGGCAGGCGCCATTCAGGCACTCCTGTCTCCTACAAGAGCTGTCACAGCTGGGAAGCGGAGAGACCCAACCTGATGTGCCCAAGCAGAATTGGAGCTGCATCTCGCCAAGGTGACCCCAGGGCCCAGATGCTTTCAGCGAGCATTCCTCCCGGCCTAACATCCCAGCCGGGCTTGGGGCACCGCGGCCATGTTCCAGCTGAGGAAAGGGGCTGTCAGACTTTCCCTGGCACCATCTGGGACACCAGAAGGGTGAAGTAAGAGGAGCTCCAGAAAGACAGGCTTTCCCACACCCTCAGCAGAGCGGCCCCTGGGCTCACTCTCTGCTCCTGCTCGCCCGTACCTCTACGCTCTTCGTCTCTGCGTTGTGGCTCAGTCCCCAGACCTGCACAAAGGAGTCCTCGGCAGCAGACAGCAGCTGGACAGGAAAAGGGCAGAGAAGGCAAGGCCTCAAGGCGGGCCACGTCTCCGGCTGTATAGCCCTGGCATTGGAGAGCCTTTCCAAAGAAGGGGACCCTCCCTAGGAGAGCGAAAGTGCCAAAACTGCCTGGGGGGAGTTCTAGCCAAGCCAAGAGCAGCACCCCTGAGGCAGGCTGTGGTCATGGTGACCTGCACACAACCGTTGGCCTGCTGGGGGGACATCTCTGGCAGCTCTTCAGAGCATCTCTGTCTCCTGTGCCAAGGAGTTCCCTAGATTTGCGCTTGCCTCAAACTTTGGTGTCCAGAATCAGAGAAGCTGATCAGGACTTTTGCCACTGCCAAAAGGAGGCACCTTACCAAGCTCTGGCCTGCCCCCCATCACATCCAAACCTTCTAGCGTGCAACAGGCTCACCTTCCCTGAGAGCGGTGCCAGGTCCAAGGCATAGATCCAGCGCGCGTGAGCCCTGACTTCAGCTCTCAGGGTTCCACACGCTGCTTCATACAAGCGAATCTGTCCGTTCCCATAACCTGCAGCAATGATCCCGTTCCACAGCTTCACAGAGGAGCAGGTGGACCTGGTGCATGAGAGGGAGGGAATCAGGCCCTGCTCAGCTTGTGCTGGAGCTCGAAGGCAGAGCAGCTCCTACCAGAGCGCTGCAAAGGAGGGAGGGAGGGAGGGCAGCTTCCCATATTTTTAATCTTAACTGAGCAAAACCCTGCAGGACGTAAGATGCCACTGCCTCACTCTTGCAGCCTGGCGCACAGGCCAGTTCTGATGTGAGAAGAGGAGGAGCTCGCCTTCCACCTCCTGTTCCTACCAGCCACCCTGAGCCCCATTCCTCAGCTGCTGCAAGGAGGAGCAGGAGGGGAGGCACAACCTGTTATAGGAGTCTTGTCTTCTTGCTGTAAAGTTCATAGGAGATCTAATAGCCCCACTCTTGCCTCAGGACCAGCCCCCCCCCGGCCCTTACTCAGAAGCTGGGATTTTGGTGATCAGCTTGAATGTCTCTCCAGACCGCCAAACGCACAGCGCCCCAGAGTCATCCGCAGTCACCAGATCCACAGCTCCCTCCTGCAACGTGAGAAAGAACAGAACTCCTGCAGCAGGCGTCTGCCCCGTCTTAATGGCTGCCTCTGGCCAAGGGACACAGACAGACATGCAGGGGGGCTGCAGGGCTGAGCGCTGCTCCCCCATCAGCTTAAATATGGCCCAGGCCCAGAAGAGGCTGCCACAGCCAGCACCCCAGTAAGGGGAGGTCCAAGAGAGCACAGAGGGGGCCTGCGATTGCTCTGGGGGCTTGGCCTGGCAGGTCCTGCCTTACCGGCTGCTCACAGAGCTCTGCGCCAATGTCGGTGATGGCGCAGTTGTGCTCCTCAAGGACTTCGCTCAACGTGATGTTGGTGCCTTTGGAGGGGACATCAAAGACAAGGACCGAACCTGAGGATGTCCCTGCAATGGGAAGGGGAATCAGGCTAAGGTCTGCCCATCTCCCCTGAAACCAACCATGTCACGCTGTCCAACGAGCGATCCTCCTGGCCACAGTGCCCTCTGGGTCTTTGTGGCAGTTGCTGAAATCAGCTGGTGACCCAATCCACCACTGCAAGAAAGCTCTCCTTTTTGGTGCCTCCCCCAAAACAGGCCTCATCTCATCCTGCTGCCATCTCCCACCATCCCAGTGATGAGAAGCCCTCAGCCCAGCGGCCCCTCACATCTCCCTGCTTGCTCACCTACGCAAACAAAGCGTGGTCCTGTTGCTGCAATCCCACGAGCAAACAGCACCGTCCCTAGCGGGGGCGAGAAGCCATAGATGAGTGGCAGAAGTGCAAGCCCCTGAGGACCCCTCTGCTCACACCAGCACTTCCTCTGAGTTCAGCTGGTTCAGCGGTTTTGACTTAGCTCCACCGCCCAGCCCGTGAAAAACAGAGGCGTCCCTCTCCAAAGACGCAGCAAATCCAGGCCAGAGAGCTGTTGAGACCCTGCCTGCTCTGTCAGGCAGAGGAGTAAACACAGGGAACGGCGGCCTCCGAAAAGTTGAAACCTAGGCCCTGTGCCATCCCTTATCTCTCATCAGGCCAGCTCAAGGCATGCTGGTGGAAGCAGAGCAGTCGTGAAAGGGAACAGCACCAGGGAACGTTCCCAACGCTGTGCTGAATCAGGAACACCAAAGGGGAAAAGGAGAACGAACAGTTCTGGGGCTCGGATTGTTAAAAATAAGGCCGTGGGCCCAGAAAATAGAGGACGAAGAGGATTCTAGAGGCCCATTGCACTAAATGACAAGGAGCCAGCTAGCGTACTCTGGCGGGCATGGCACAGCACGCTCCAGGCTAGGGTGGCTTACCCAAGAGCCCACCAATAACAAAGCCCTTCATTCCAACCTGGGGAGCGGGGAGGGGGAACAGGACCCTCCCGCGGCCGAGAAGCCCCCATGGGGGGACAGCGCCCCCCAAGTTCGGATGGCCCCAACCCGGATGCCCCTTTCGCGGGGCGTTGCAGGCTGCTCCGGGGCAGCCTGGCCGGTGGGCGGACGAGCTCCGTTATGGCGGGTGGCCAGGGGCAGACAGAGCTGCTTGTCCGGGGGCGCGGGCGCGTTGG